TTAAAAATATATCATACAATTAATTAATATATAAAATATAGAATACAAAATCAGATGAGATCGGAAGTTATATTAAATGTTTATTATATTACATTAAATAACTATTTTTAATTTAAAAAATTTTACTAAAATTTCAAAATACACCAAAATATATTTTATTTCAAGAATAGAACACCATAGAATTATGGCTATTGGGACACTTTTGTTTGTATGTAATAATATTATATATATATATATATCTATCTCTGATGGGAACATATAATGTTCTTTACAATTTTTTTAAGCAATAAGAATGGAGTTGAAAAATATATTGTTTTTTTCTATTATTATTTAAATGACATGAGACTTTAGAATGTTATTTTTTTAAAATGATGTTGGATGAAATTTAAATCTATAAATTTACTTGTAGTTTTATGAAATTGCACAAAATTCTCTATATTTCTAAAACTGCGTCAAACTTTTTTGTGGTTTTATAAACTCTGCGTCTAACCCCATCGACGCTCCTTATTTAACGGTATTTGATCTAAATACGCCCAAACTGCGAATAAATTTTATAATTTCAATTTCTAAACCCCTAAAATTACAAATGTATTTATTTTTCTTATATTTAGCCTCAAAAAATAAATAAATATACTCAAAATTAGCTATTTTTCTCAAGTTTTAAGAGTTTATTTTTATTGTTTTTTAAGATAAATATAAGAAAAATAAATATATTTGTAATTTTAGGGGTTTAGAAATTGAGATTTTAAAATTTATTCGCAGTTTGGGCGCATTTAGGTCAAATACTGTTAAATAAGGAGCATCGAGGGAGTTAGACGCAAAGTTTATGAAACCACGAGAGAGTTTGACGCAGTTTTTGAAGTATGGGGGATTTGGCGCAATTTCGTAAAACCATAGGTAGATTTTGTACAATTTAGCCTTTTTTTTATTTTTTTTTAAGTGATGTTGGATGGAATTTAAATCTATAACCTCACAGTTACAAATTCAATATTCACGTTATTAGGCCATCTCTTATAGAATTATATTAGATTGTATTTGCTTGAAAGTTTGGAGTTTATATTTGTGATTTAAATAATAAATAAAATAAAATTTCAATAGTTGTTGATATAATATAAATAGAAAAATAATATTTTAATATATTTATTTTTAGTATAATATAAACATAAATATTTAATTTGCAATTTTTTTAAAAATATAATAAAAATTCTTTTGTTGTTATATAATAAAAAATATATATTTATGGCACTTCAAGCAAAACATGTATCTGTACCTTCCTTACTATTTGTGTTTGTTTGGGGACTAAATTTTAAATCCATTATCCATCTTATATTTTTTCATCCAAAATATCAAATCAAACACCTATTTTTCATTTTTTATAGTATTATATTAAAAATTAATTTTACATTCAAAATATCACATCAACACCTATTTATATCACATCATACAACTATTCAAATTCAAAATTTTTACTATTCAAATTCCAACTCAAAATCCAAACCCCAAACAAACACACCCTTGGAATTTGTTTTCATTTCTTTTACAATACTTATTTTATAAAAATATATTTTATGAGATTTGAAGATATAATTTGTTTATATTATGAAGTGGTCCTTTGTTATACACATGACAACATATTTTGAAATCGAAAATTAAGTATGAAGTTGTCTCTTGAAGAAGGCAAAGGGCTTCCTCTCTATATACATTACATATACAGATATCGATTTTTTTGTCCATATATATATATATATGAAAGGAACACAAATTTTACGAGGACAATAACTTAATGCTGAATGTGACAATTAATTTAATTTCACAAACAAAATACTATTAAATCTTGTAGACTAGATGTAGTTTGTCTTTGCAATGACAATTCAGTTTACATGTTCTTACAATGAGGAACATACGATGTGATATGATATGATTGGAATGATTTTCAAATAATAATAATAATAATAATAATATTGTAATTCTTTATAAAAATATATCAAACTTTTGTATAAAATATCATATTAGGTAATTATTTATTAAAACACAAGTCTTGAAGGACCTTTTTTTTTTAAATGAAATATTTGCTAGATTTTTTTTAGATGGTTTATATATATATATACTAGAAAACGCTCTTGCGCGGTACCGCGCGACTATTCTATAATATAATGTAGTGAAACATTATTTATTTGAAATATAAAATGTAAAAAAAAAAAATTGCAATTGAATTATTTGCGCTCAGGTCGGTTGGTCCTCGGTCGGTTGGTCCTCGGTCGGTTGGTCTGGTTTGTTGGTCAGGTGGGTTGGTTAGCGGTCGGATAGACAGGTCGGTTGGTCTGGTCGGTTGGTCCTCGGTCGGATGATCAGGTCGGTTGGTTAGCTGTGGGATAGGCAGGTCGGAAGGTCCTCAGTCAGTTGGTCTGGTCGGATGGTTAGCGGTCGGACAGACAGGTCGGATGGTCAGCAGGTCAGACAGACAGGTCTGATGGTCTGCGGTCGGATAAAGTAGGTCGGCTGGTCTGCGGTCGGATAGACAAGTCAGCTGGTTCGCAGGCGGATAGACTGAGATAAGAAGGGTGACCCTGCATCTCTTTATGAGTTTTGAAATGTCAAAAATAGTAAGGATATTTCAACTTTGATAATTGTTACGCACAAATAATAATAATAATAATAATAAAAATAAGGATAACAAGATCTTAAAGGAAGTTAGACACGAAGTCGGGTGGAAAAGGAGAAAATTTTGCGCTCAGGTCGGTTGGTCAGGTCGGTTGGTCGGATGGTCAGGTGGGTTGGTTAGCGGTCGGATAGGCAGGTCGGAAGGTCCTCGGTCGGTTGGTTTGGTCGGTTGGTTACCGGTCGGATAGGCAGGTCGGAAGGTTCTCGGTCGGTTGGTATGGTCGGTTAGTCCTCGGTCGGATGGTTAGCGGTCGGACATACAGGTCTGATGGTCTGCGGTCGGATAAAGTAGGTCGGCTGGTCTGCGGTCGGATAGGCAAGTCAGCTGGTCTGCACGCGGATAGACTGAGATAAGAAGGGTGACCCTGCATCTCTTTATGAGTTTTAAAATGTCAAAAATAGCAAGGATATTCAACTTTGATAATTGTTACACACAAATAATAATAATAATAATAAAAATAAGGATAGTAGGATCTTAAAGGAAGTTAGACACGAAGTCGGGTGGAAAAGGAGAAAAATTTGCGCTCAGGTCGGTTGGTCAGGTCAGTTGGTCGGATGGTCAGGTGAGTTGGTTAGCGGTCAGATAGGCAGGTCGGAAGGTCCTCGGTCGTATTATTAGGTCGGTTGGTTAGCGGTCGGATAGGCAGGTCGGAACGTCCTCGGTCGGTTGATCTGGTCGGTTTGTCCTCGGTCGGATGGTTAGCGTTCGGACAGACAGGTCTGATGGTCAGCATGTCGGACAGACATTTCTGATGGTCTGCGGTCGGATAAAGTAGGTCGCCTGGTCTGCGGTCGCATAGGCAAGTCACCTGGTCCGCAGGCGGATAGACAGGTCGCTTGGTGGGTGCGGCCAAGGAGTCTTTTGGTCTACCGATTGGTCTCTGGATTGGTCGGTTGGGCTATTTGAGTTCTGGAACTGGTGGAGACGTTTGGCGAGGCGGTTGATGTAACCGACTAGACGACGACGTTCCAAAACGGTTCGTCTTGGGCGGTTGACGGCGGTTGCTGGCGACGGTTCCAAAACGTCTTTTCAAGCCAGTACAAAGGTAGGTAAAGGGCTAAATTGTCATTTTCGAAATGAGGGACAGGATAGACTTTTCAAGTGGCAGATCCGTACACGTGTTTATAAGATATAATATATATATATATAGATTTTAAAAGATATATAATATGTACATTGAATGTGATGTTTCTATTAAAAAAAATTAATAGTAGATACAAGAAATATTATATTATAACAAGCTAGAAAATTGAGAAAACTTGATCCAGAATTCAATCAAAACATGTATCTTCTGTGACTATGGAATTTGAGGACGGACTTGGACAAAGATATTTACCTTGTTATTTATTTATTATTTTAAGAAAATATATTTTCACAAAAAGAACACACCCAAGTGATTTAGGGATAATGATTGTGTTACCCACAAAATAAACAAAAATTTGAAGCCCAAAGTTAAAAAGGTACGAGCCCAAAAGGCAAGCCCAGCGCCATACTCAGTCTAAAGCCCAAGTAAAATCAAAAGCAACTCCTTATAATATTTTTTCTCTATTTCTTTTATTTTTATTTTTCCAGTCTGTACTTTTTCTATTTTTCTTACTGCCATATTTTTTTGCGTTATTTCCTCAATTGCAATGCACTATTGTTTAGTTTATTTTCTATCCAATTCAACACACCTACAAATTAATTAATGGCAATATTTTCATTAGAAATTTATTGCAATTTTATCACCGGTCGCGAGACCAAGTCCGGACACTTTCTTAAATAGGTGGGAGGATCTCATTTGATATTAAGACTGACATGTCCAAAATCAATTAGGCCGTTAACGTCAATTTTCAGTGATAATAGACCGACACATTTAGTGAAACTTCAACAAGTCACTTACATGCAACTATGCAATTGCGAGTTATTTTCGCCAAAAAGTTTCGTTATGTTAAACATCGTCACAACTTAGCGATCATCCACAGCGCCGGAACAAAATGATGGGCTGATTACAAGATTTTACAAATTTTCTACAAATCAAATATATACTTCCTCCCGTCATTCAAATCTATGTTCATTTTTCTTTTTTGATTGTCGTCGAAAACTATTCTCGTTTTCCTTTTAAGTAAAAAATTATTACATTTTTTTTACTATAAAAAGAAAAATTAATAATTATTACTCACTTTTATTAATTTTCGTGCCCGGTTAAATGAGCATTTGACCGACGGAGGGAGTATATATTTTTATTTTTATAGCATTATTATATTAAACATTAATTATAGATTCAAAATATTAAATTAATTCCTATTTATACACGCGTCTGTGTATATATATATATATATACACATGCCGTGTTCTTCTCTTTTTCTCTCTCTAAAGTCTAAACAGAAAGAAGGCATGAATCTCTGCAAGAAATTCCGAGCTACTGCAATGGCGGTGGTCTTGTTGATTTCAGCCATCTCTGTAGCGGCGACGGCGGAAATCGGAAGCAGCTCCGGCGAGAGGCCTCCGGCGATACAAAAGGCGGCGTTCGCCCGGTGGCTGGTGCGGCGGAGCTCGTGGGGCGTGTTGAGCACGCTCAACTCTACCGGCGGCGATCCTTTCGGAAATGTGATGTCGTACAGCGACGGCAACGGCACCGGAGTCCCTTACTTCTACCTCACCGTCAAACTCGACCCCACCGGCGCCTTCGCCGTCAACAACCCACGCGCCTCCCTCACCGTTGCCGAGTACGCGCTCGGCTCCTGCGGCTCCGGCGCAGATCCTCAGTCGCCTCTCTGCTCCAAAATCACCCTCTCCGGCAAGGTACCTATACATACACATATATATATATATATATTGCTACTTATATTTTTATGTTTATTTATTTTGCGAGTATATTTGATAATTTATAGTAGTATGCATTTTTCTTTATCTTTTATAATAAAAAATATAAAAATAATAGTAATAAATAAAACAAACTTATTTTTGTGTATGGCATGCTACAAATAAACAATTGTATATATATATATTTTTTACAGACTACAAAATAAATTATATATATTCTATGAAAAAGTAAATATCTAATTTTTAGTTACCGAAAATATTATTCTTTCCCTTCGAAAAGTTTAGCTCTACTTTTTTATATTTTAACAAAAAAAAAAATGAGACTAAGGGTGTGTTTTATTTGATGAGTTTGGAAAAAATTTGGTTTGAGTTTGATATGAAAATAATAGTTGATGGGATGTTTTGTGTGAGGAAAAAATATATTTTTTTCGAAAAGCACAGAGTCCAAATAGTAAATTTGGAAAAATTATGCTGAAGAAACATACCCTAAAATTTTCAACCGAAAAAAATACTTCTTCGGTCATTGAAATCTATACTCATTTTTCTTTTTGGGTTGTCATTGAAAAATATTTTCGTTTCTTTTTTAAGTAAAAAATCATTACACTTTTGTATTTTTTTTACTATAAAAGAAAAAAATAACAATTATTACTCACTTTTATTAAAATTCGTATCCGATCAAGTGAACATCCTTTTCGTACGACGGAGGGAGTATTTAATACTAGAATATTCTCTTGTGTTGACTAACACCTCCGAGACTCAAATGGACTAGCCATAAGATAATTTTAGCATTTTAATTTGATGTGAATTTAATTTTGTGTGTATATAAAAAAAATATATGTCTATTAATTAGAAATTAATATTACGTAGAGATTGACACATGGCTAGTTTATATCCAAAATGATAATCAATGTTATTTATATTGAGGGTAAAAATATATTTATTTTTTTAATATAATTTATAAAATAATTTTCTACCAAAATAAGGATGAAATGATTAAAAAATCTATGAAAATTATGCACTTTAGAAATTCTCATATTAATTGTGACATTCACTGTGGGTGATTGATTTCAGATGGAATTACTGCTCGATGATTCACCGGAAGCTGCAAAGGCCAAAGAATATTTATTTAAAGATCATCCTAAACTAAGTGGTAATTTTTACAATTAGCTGTTCTCTATTATAATTAAATAATTAAGATTGTATTAGTAAAAATAATTATTAATTAATAAAAATAGGGTTTGGATTTTGAATTGGAATTTGAATAGTAAAAATTCTGAATTTTAATAGTTATATGATGTGACATAAATAGATATTGATGTGATGTTTTGAATGTAAAATTATTTTTTTAGTATAATATAAAAAATGAAAAATAGGTGTTTGATTTAATATTTTTTGAGAAAAAAAATGTAATGAATAATGGATTTAAAATTCAATTCCCCAAACAAACACACCATAAATTTAATTCCGCTTTTATACTCCCTCCTGCTGGTATATTCAGAATATTTATGTTCCGTCAGAGAAATTAAAAAATAAAAATGAATATTTTATTCACAACGTGATAAAAGTAAAAAAATAAAATAGTTTGGTATTTTTTAATATTTAGTTATACATTAAAGAAACAAGGAAAGAAAAAGTAATAAAGGTAGTGAGTTGTAAATAAAAAATAATAATTAAATATTAAATTTGTTGATCTTGTCAAAATTGGTAATAAAGTAAATTTAACGGACAAATTAAAATAAATGTGAGAATAAATTTGTCCAGGGTAGCTTTTTATAATAGAACATAAACAAAGATAAAAATTAATAGATGAAAGTGTTAATAATATTTTAATTAATTCAATGTATGTTTGTTTATAATCTTTTTTGCAATATGTCATAATCTATTTTAATTCATTTTTGAATAGAATGATAGTTATTTCTTCATCCTAATTTCATATTTTTAATACACATCTTAAATATTGGTACTTGGTTAATTTTAATAATTAATGTGCATATAGTAAATGTCTGCTCTTAATTTGTACATAGTCGACATAGACTAGTTATTATTTAAGAACCTTAGTATCCCCATAGTACTGTTCATTAATTCAATATTGAAAAGTAATACTACAAAGTGCATCCTAATTTTTAACAATTTACGACACCAAATAATTGGGTTTGAGTCAAAGATTTCAATCCGATTATGTATACGGATTGACACGAATCTGACACGATAATAAACGGATCGGGTTAGGGTTGTGTCTCTCAACTCGAATGCGACACGATAATCCGATTATAATATATTAATATTGATTAATATATTTGTTAAGCACAAAAAATAATAATAATAAATAATGGCAGTGGGATTCTGGACGGGTCTGGATATAAGTTAAATGACCCAGAAGTCGGGTGCAATCGGACAGATGCAAGGATCGGGAAGGAAGAAAGGTCGGGCGGAGTCTGAAAAAAGGTGTACCCAAGTCGGGTAAACCGTAGATCGGGTGAAAGACGAAGTCGGGCAGACGCGAAGGTTTGTCAAGAGAAAGGTCGGGCAAGGAAGAGGTACGGACAGATGCGGAGGTCTGTCCAGAGGACAGTCTGTCCTTCTAAAGAGATAAGGCAAATAGAGCCGGTCGGTTGGTCCGTGATAGGGACCACATTTGGTTGGTCCATGGTCGGACCAATTAAAGTCGGTCGAAGACGGAGGGCGGCTGATGCGGAGGTCGGCCCAAATGATGTCGGGCGAAGAAGCAGGTCGGGCATTGAGGTCAGGACGTGATACGAAGTTCGGACCAAGTGAAGTAGCATGTGTAGGTCGGGTGAGAGAGCAGTTCTGGGGCGGTTAGAGGAAGTTGCAACTGGCGAACGGTTTTTTGAAGGTCGGACGTAGTAGAACGGTTGACACACGTGTCAATAGAAGAGAACTTTTGGGGCGGTTAACAACGGTTATGGTAACTGACCAGACGACGGTTCTGAACGTTTTCTTCAAAGAATATTTAAGGATTTGGATCATCATTTGGCAAGGCATCTTCAATCAACTTCAACAAAGCAAAGTCAGATTTGAGGATCACCACTTTAAATTTCAGTCTTTTATTTTCCAGTTTATTTTCTGTACCATACAGTGTTTAGAGATTCCTAATCTCAGGCACTAATTAATCAAGTTTAAGGATATTTTCTATATCTTTGAATTTTACTTTATTTTTGTTGAAAAATTACATCAACAATATTTATTATATATGTAAAATAATCATAATTTATTAATTTTCTCATAAATTAATTTAAACTAAGTTCAATTTTAAATAATTTAACCTAATTTACGCTCAAATTAATAAAATCTAACATAACACAACAACACAACAAAAAATTATTTAATTTGAATCAAGAAATTCGACTTAATTATGTATACGGGTCAACACGAGTCAACCCGAACCCGACACGATAATAAACTGGTCAACACGAACCCGACACGATAATAAACCTCCGTGTCTGCCGTCTCATCTTTCTTCGTCCGACCTCCTTTAGTCCGATCGCCTTTTGACGGACCTCCGTAACACCCGTCCCATCTTTCTTCCCCCGACCTCTTTTCGCCCGACCTCCGTGTCTGTCATTTCATCTTTCTTCGCCCGACTTCCTTTTGACCGAGCTCCATATCGCCCGTCTCATCTTTCTTCCTCCGACCTTCGTTCGCCCGACCTCCATGTCTGCCTTCTCATCTTTTTTCCCCAACTTCCTTTCGCCCGACCTCCGTGTCTGCCGTCTCATCTTTCTTCGCCCGACCTCCTTTAGACGAACCTCCGTAAAACCCGTCTCATCTTTCTTCCCCCGACCTCCTTTCGTCTGACCTCCGTGTCTGCCATCTCATCTTTCTTCGTCCGACTTCCTTTTGACCGACATCCGTATCGCCCGTCTCATCTTTCTTCCTCTGACCTTCTTTCGCCCAACCTCCATGTCTGCTTTCTCATCTTTCTTCCCCCAACTTCCTTTCGCCCGACCTCCATGTCTACCAACTTCCTTTTGTCCAACTTACTTTAGATTGATTTAATGTATCAATTATTAATCTTTTTTTTTTATAGACACACAAATTTCTTTCGGATTCACTTTTATCATCCCAACGTAATTATTTTTATTTTCTCATTGTATATAATTGGCTCACCATAATGATGCACATATATTTAAATGGATCGAGATTTTACATTACTTCGTCTTTTTTTTCCTATCACGTATATTCACATTGAATATACAACTATACTGTCTTTTCTTCCATACCGACACTTCGATTTTGCATATATAGCCTCATTATATTATATCACACCCGCGTGGCGTAGTGCACTGCGAGTCCTAGTATATATATAATAAAAAAGATATGAACAGTTGTTTTCTTGTTGAAATATTCTACATAAACTGTGTTTATGTCTTTCTCATTTAAACATGTTCATTTGTTATTTTAATAAAAATAATGATACATAAATATCAAAATATTATTCCCTCCGTCTTTCTGAAAGGGGTCTTTTAGGGTCTGTTCGGTTTGAGGAATTTTGAGGAAAGAGGAAGAGAGATAATGAAAAAAATTACAATTACCTGATTCAATTTTTTTCAAAGGGGAGGGGAAAGGAAGGAAGGAGAATATAAAATAAAATTATGTTGTTTCCCTTCAAAATGAGAGAACTTTGAAGGGGAGAAAAAGATGTCTATGTTTTTATTTTATAAAATTACTATTATATGCTTAATATTATATATTATTTTATTTGTATTTAATTATACATAAATTATATTATACATATTTTATAATTAATAATTAGTTATAATATTTTTAAATTTTACAATGTAATTAAATTATAAAACATAATTTTATATAAATTAGATTAATTTTATTTTAATTATTTAATTAAACCCTTAAGAGTTAGTTTTTAATTAATAAAATAAATTCATATTTATTATATTTATTTAACACTATAAACGATATTTATCTTATAATTTATTCTAGATAAATAAAATTTATGTTAGAATGATTATTTTGTTATTAATTGATTCAATTTTTTATATATAATTTTATTTTTATTTTATTATATTTATTTAACACTATAAACGATATTTATTTTATAATGTATTCTAGATAAATAAAATTTATGTTAGAATGATTATTTTGTTATTAATTGATTCAATTTTTTTATATATAATTTTATTTTTATGTATGTTTTATTTAAATGATATAAGTATATATATACTTATTTTAAAATAAACTACTTCATTCTTGTATCAAAATTGATGTTTTAATAATAAATTAATAAAATTTTATTAAATAATTTTATTTTTATTTATTTATACAATATAGGGATAAAAGAGTAATATTATTATATTTTTCATTTCTCCCTTGTTTAACCAAACACAACGATACTATTTTTCCTCAACTCTCCTCCTTCCTGTGAACCATACACATTATTACAATTTTAATATTTTTTTCCCTCCTCTACCTTCATTTGAATCATTTGGGTATGTTTGGTTTGAAGATTTAGGAGGGGAAGGGAGGGAATTATAAAAGTTTTTGTGTTTGGTTTAAATTTTGTTAGAGGGAATGAGAGGAGAAGGGACGAGAGGAGAGTCAATTCCTTTTCATTTTTTCCCCCTTTAAGTTTGGGAGAATTCGGAGGAAAGTGATTTTATCAAAATTTCTTTTTATTTAATTACCTATTATACCCTTTAAATATTTTATTAGAAAATTTATAACATCTCTCAAAATTTTAATATTTATTTATTTTATTTTTAATTATTTTGAATAAATATTAAAATAGGAGTATTATATATTTTAAATTAATTTTTTTAATCAAGTTTAATAATAATAATTTTTTCTTAAATTATACAAATTAGCATATAATTATAACTATAATAATTATATTTTACTAATAAATAATTTGAAAATAATTTAGTTTTAAACGAATAGATTTAGGTTGAATAATTGATTTAATTAACTAAATATATTTAAATTAATATAAATAATTAGAATTGATATTTATAATTGACCTAATTTATATAAATTTTGTTATATCTATTGTTATTTGCATATACCATTATTATTTATATGTATTTTGATTTCAATAAATATTTACTTTATGATTAAAATGAATCAAAGTAACCCAGTTTAAGTATATTTTGTAATATTTTTATAGTATACTTAGTTTATATAATTTTGGTTACATTGTTATTATTTATACGTAAAATATTGTC